GGGTTTGCAAATTTAATCTCGGGTGGATTTGCCGAGTTTAATCTCTGTCTGCTGCCGTGGGGCCGGGCTGACCCCACAGCCTTGGGGGCTACAGAACCGGGGCCCAACAAATCCTCCTGTTCCTTGTTGCCTCCGAGACCTTGTTTGGCCGGAGGTTTTGAGGGGAAAATTAACTTTAGAAGCAAATCAGCTGTTTCAAACCCGGGTGTGCCCTGCCCCGAGCAGCGCCCGCGCCTCGCTGGCCGCGGCACCGAGCTCGGCTCCGCTCTGCGGTGCCGGCGCCGTGTGCTGCGTGCCGCAGAGCCGTGCTGAGCCTGTCCCCGTGCCCGTGCCCGTGCCAGGTGTCCCCGGCCCAGCCCACGGCCACGGGCGGGCGGCGGCGGCGCGCGGCGGACGAGGACCCGGACGAGCGGCGGCAGCGCTTCCTGGAGCGGAACCGCGCGGCCGCCTCGCGCTGCCGCCAGAAGCGCAAGCTCTGGGTGTCCTCCCTGGAGAAGAAAGCCGAGGAGCTGACGAGCCAGAACATCCAGCTGAGCGTGAGTATGTACTGGGGCTGAGCGCAGCCCCGGCACGGCCCTGGCACGGCGCTGGCATGGGCACGGCCCTGGCACGGGCACAGTGCTGCCCTGGCACGGCCCTGGCACGGCCCTGGCACGGCGCTGGCACGGGCACAGTGCTGCCCTGGCACGGCCCTGGCACGGCGCTGGCACGGCCCTGGCACGGCGCTGGCACGGGCACAGTGCTGCCCTGGCACGGCCCTGGCACAGCCCTTTGTCTCCCCCGAGCCCCGGAGCAGCTGATGGTGCACAGTGGGATCTCCTTTTCTCTGCTGTGCCAGGGGTGCAGCACCCTGGGATGCCCAGGAGCTCTCCCAGTTCTCCCAGAGCGTTCCCAGTTCTCCCGGAGCTCTCCCAGTTCTCCCGGAGTGTTCCCAGTTCTCCCAGAGCTCTCCCAGTTCTCCCGGAGCGTTCCCAGTTCTCCCAGAGCTCTCCCAGTTCTCCCGGAGCGCTCCCAGTTCTCCCAGAGCTCTCCCAGTTCTCCCTGAGCATTCCCAGTTCTCCCAGAGCGTTCCCAGTTCTCCCGGCGCGCTCCCAGTTCTCCCAGAGAGCTCCCAGTTCTCCCTGAGCATTCCCAGTTCTCCCAGAGCATTCCTAGTTCTCCCAGAGCATTCCCAGTTCTCCCAG